TGATGTCTCTGCTTTTTAAGGGTTAGAAGTGTTTTTTTGCGCTCCACTGTTTTCACCCTTCCCCAAAGATAAGGGAGCCAGGCCCTCCCCCTTCTCTTTGAGACACTGATGCTGGCTTCCACCCCCCCCCACATACCCATATAAGAGTTGGGGGGGTCATCTCCTGGAGGCAACAAAGGGGTACAAACGTGTGGTCCAGAGTTCAGGTGAGCAGCCGGGCGCTCTGGCCGGGCAGCACCGGATTCGTGTGCAAACTAAGCATGAGGGGCCTTGGGTTTAATTTAACACAAATAACAACAGAATGAGTCAATAGATTTCGGTTTGTGCGGCCAGCTAGAAAATATATATATACTATTTTAAGGAGAAACGCTGTGTAGTCGTGTGGCATCGTTGTCGGAGCGTGCTGTCCGAGGAACCGGGAGACCAGGGTCCAAATCTAGGACTCCCCGGGTGGTCTTTGGCCAATTCCACCTACTCTTGGCCTGGAAAGACTCTTGTGGTCAAGAGAGATGGCCACGGTCATGTTTCCTTGAGGGATCAGGTGAGAATGCAGCGTCCGAAATGGGCCGGCTGAATTAGAATACAAGTCCCGGTTTGAGAGTCTTGTAACGAACTTCAGGGCTGCTCCGTCCCCAAAGGGAGGGGTCCCTTGCCCAGAGACACCCTCCCCTCCAAGGACAACTTCTTTTGGGTTTTCTTTTTATGGCAAGATCCAGAAGCCCCCCCCTCCCACCACCAATGCAAAGGGACCAGGCACGGATCCCCCCTCCCTCCAGAGACCGAGGCAGGACGCGTGTTGGGGTGTGCGTGAGAAGTGAGGCTCTCTCCCCGGGAGTTCCCCACCCCTTGGCAAACTCCCTGGCGTGGATCTCACCCTGAGCCTCTCTGCCTGGGGTGCGGAAGGCGCCTGCACCTTTTTTCATTTGGGGGGGGGAGCTGTCATCCCCACCGCCGCCCCCACAACGTGTCTCAAACACTAGGCTGCCTTTCCCAGGGCTGCAAAGCGAGGCTTCAAGGGTTAATATTTTGGCGGGGGCAGAGCCCCCCCATCTCACATAAAAAGTAACTTCTCCAAGTCCTGCCTGGCCCCTCTTCGTGCGGGCGGCCGAAGGAAACCGCGATCATACGTGTCTACACACACTCACACGCACGTCTGTACGGCACCCGAACTCTCGCTCCGATTCAGAGCCAGCGGGTGGGTGGATGCGCGGCAGCGGAGGCGCTTTTCAAGGGAGCCCAAATAGACACAATTGCTCAGGGCACGTGGGTACGGGGGAGGGAAGAGAACAAGGCGGCCCAGACTACAATTCCCATCATCCCGAGCCCCAGCACAGCCAAGGGTCGCACGCACGTCTGTACGGCACCCGAACTCTCGCTCCGATTCAGAGCCAGCGGGTGGGTGGATGCGCGGCAGCGGAGGCGCTTTTCAAGGGAGCCCAAATAGACACAATTGCTCAGGGCACGTGGGTACGGGGGAGGGAAGAGAACAAGGCGGCCCAGACTACAATTCCCATCATCCCGAGCCCCAGCACAGCCAAGGGTCGGCCCTTATGGCAGAGATCGTCTCCCCCCCTTTGGG